AAAACACAATAACGACGCCAAAGAAAGTTCCTAGAATTTGAGTCTAAAAATCTAAATATGTTACAACATAACATAGGTTGTTTAGAATATATTAGTGAATTTTATATAATGGGTTATGTTCACAGTTGTAGTGTTACGTTCACAGTTGAAATCGATGGACCTTATGTTGAAAGCGTTTTGAAGTGTTTTGTCGTAGACTTAGTTATTATTTTCTATATTTGTGCCAACTTTTTTCTTTGTACATGCATTTTCATATTGTATTTATTTAGTTTACTTATTTCATGGTTTACATTCATTCACTCATGTACATATCATTATTTATTGAATAAATTGAAAATACTTTTGATTTCTTTTTTTCATTTTGATATTCACGCCTGCAGTGAACAGAAAAACGCAAATTATATCTATCTCGAATTGCATTAGCTTTTTCACGAGTAATTCAGGCGTTCCCTAGTCTACTAGTCTATTGGTGAACTTTTAGGAGTTAACATAGCAATAAACTTCAAGAAAGAAACTTTTAGCGAAATGCAAAAGCAGAGACATAGACATCTATGTCTCTGGCAAAAGTTAAGAGAAAAATCGAGGTCGATACAATTTACTTGTACGGATCTTCAAAAAAAGGGAGAGTACTCATTTTAGATGACGCACTTTTCGTTTAGTCCAATACGAGTTACTTCCCCTGATGTGTTGGAGTAGCTAATTGGCGACAGTGCAAATAAAAATTAAAATATGTATATGAATATCACAGAAAAAACGTAATATTGTTACACTGTAGTGATCAATATGTCCATTTACATCATCTTTTTAAAGAACCTTCAAACTTCTTTACATAGAGCACATTTCCTTACTAAGACTCATAAATCAGTGATATTAGAACTATAATATACATGCAACCATGTTTAGGCTGAATGTACATATACTGCATATACTATATTTCATTCATCTATCACTTCGTCTTGAAGTTTTCCCCCGTAAAACGTAGTAAAAATGGCATTATTTATCAAAAATAACGTCTCATCAATTCTTGTTATAAATATTTACTTGGGAAGAAAATCAATTTTTGCTACGTCACTTGGTCTTACCTTAGATAGAAGATCATCAATTTTAGTTACGAAGCTTCACTTGGTCTTCCTTTACAAGGAAGAAGAACAATAGATCAATGTCAACTGAATTTGTTAAAATATCAATTGGCAATAGATCAGTCCATCAGTAACAGTCTTAATTGTTGATCATCATTGCTTTTTACTTATGACACCAATTAGGATTCAGCATATCAACAGTGAAAGTAAAGAGTTTTGCATAATCAATAATGTTGTATAATTTTCTTGTTTTAAAAAGCATCAAATGCTTACTGAACAGTGGCTTTTCAATGAAAGGTACAAAGTACAAATAAAATATGGAAGCATGATTGTTTTTCTATTATAACTTTGAAAAAAAAAGTTGTCATAATGGTCAATTACTGCGACTTCTTTGCTATGCAGCAATTTGTGGTTGGCTGCACGTCTTCCCAAACAACGTTTGATCTGAAATAAAAACAATTATTGCAGTAACTAAGTCTTTAAATTGGTGAAATTTACAGTTGTTTCTGTTATTGTTTTGCAGTGTGCGTTGAATTTTATCCTAGCGAATTGGTCTATAATGAAAATAATTATGTTGATAGTATTGAGTGCCATTGAATATAAAAACCTTAAGTAGAGATCTTTTATTAATGTACATGGATAGTCCCGGCCCCGACTTCATTTTCTTTATGGCTACTTGGCCCTCTTCAAATCACAGGTAAACGTTGCGTGGCCATGACTTACACTAAACCCCCGTTCCCCCTCTACAACCCAAAACCCTAAAAAAAAATTATAAAAAAAAATTTTTATGACTTAAATATTATAATATTTAAGTCATAAAAAATTTTTTTTTTCATAATTTTTTTTTTAGGGTTTTGGGTTGTAGAGGGGGGACGGGGGTTTAGTGTAAGTCATGGCCACGCAACGTTTACCTGTGCTTCAAATGACATGTTAAATAAGCATTTTGATACACAGACACTTGGGGTTTGGAGCTCAAAACGCCTTTAAAATCCAAATAAAATGCATATTTGTCAATCCCAGGACATGTACTGATCATATATATCAAAAAATCTTAATATATGCCGTTTTGAAAAAAAAATCATATTTCAACAACTATAATAGTATTATTATAGTTGTTGAAATATGATTTTTTTTCAAAATGGCATATATTAAGATTTTTTGATATATATGATCAGTACATGTCCTGGGATTGACAAATATGCATTTTATTTGGATTTTAAAGGCGTTTTGAGCTCCAAACCCCAAGTGTCTGTGTTTTGATAGACGTCCACTGAAGTTACAGTGGTAGATTTCAATAACATATAGCTGTATTTTCAAAGTATTCACATGCTATATCTTTTAAGTTAGTTATAAGGATTTTTGAAAGGTTTGCCACATTGTTTCATAAGCAAAATCATTAATCCTCACAGTGTGCAGATATTACAGTTGCACAATGGCAGACGTGCTTGAATTTTGTGTGAAATGGAGTGGCAAAGAATATATGATTACTGCATTGACAGCGCAACAAACAGTCTCAGATATGAAGATAATTATACACAAGGAAACAGGGGTACTTCCAGAACGTCAAAAACTCCTCGGGTTGAAGTTTAAAGGTAAATATATGCGTTGAAATTTTGCTATTATGAAACTGTAGTGCACCAACATCCGAATAATTTCATTTTCGGATATTGGATATCCACAAACTGAAATTTATGAGTCACTCAGTTCAACTCATGTTAATTGAAAGAGATTGATCGTATTAGAAAACTAAATATACTGTAGTTCAGTGTGTTCTGACTGAAAAAAAATCATGTTTGTTTCTAGTTTTTGGCATCCAAAACTTTATAAGCCGCTATTTAACATTTTTGTTTTTCATCTGATGCGGCATTAAAGTTTTGGATTAGACCCGTTACGAAACTAACCAGACTAACATAAGTTGATTTAACCGTATTTTTCACTTGACCCAATCAATTCTTGTGCATTTTACGATAAAACAATTATTTTAATATCGTTCTATACCAATTAAAGTATCAAAATATTAATACCGTCATTAAAATTGCCTATTTAACTGTAAAACATCAATTACGCTGGCTACAGTCGGCCATGACATTTAGGTGCCACTAGAGATCTCGTATGACGTCATTCGCGGGAACCGATTAGAATAGTCGTGTACTATATTAATAATATTTAGAACATCTTTGTTGACATGATTTCGATATTTTTACTCAAGATAATGTTTTTATTTATTTTCATTAATTTTTTAGTACTTTAATAAGATTTTATTGAATACAAGTCAGTAAATCACATTTTTCAATATCTTTAAAAAAAGTAATTTGGAAAAAAATTGGAAGCACATGGGTTCGTAAAGGTCAATCTCGTAATCACATGGTCAAACATTTTGGCAATATGGCTGCCAAGTGCCGAAAATTTTACCTGTCGGAAACTACTAGGTAATTTATGTTTGTAATAAGATTTTAATTTGTCCATCCTTGGCTTATCAACAGATTATATATAGTTTTATCAAGGTATGCTTCACTTTACTTCATGGCATGTTCGATGAATGAATACGAGCGTGTCAGATTCCTGGCACGATTATTGGTGGACTTTCCCTTCGGGGTTGTCTTCAGCGTTCACGTCATATAAACGGGTGGACTTTCCCTACGGGGTTGTCTTCATCTTTTACGTCATGTCATAGTATATAAATGGGTACGCTGAAGACCTTAAGCTAGTTTGTTTCAATTCCAATATATTAGGGCTGTCATTGAATATCACAAAATTGATATATTATCATTGATATTCATCATCCGATACAATGAAAAAAATAACATTATCGATAAACACTTTCAGATATTGATACAAGCTAAAATTTATTTCTGTTAGTGAATATACCTCTCTATTTTGCCTATGAAGAGTCACTTTTTTCCAGTTTTCTTGGCTAACCTGAATTCAAATGTTAGTGACAGAAATAACAAAAAAAACTCTGTTAGTTTGTAGTATTTACAATGTCTAATACAAGCATGCATAACACCATGATCCGAATTTATAACACATATTTAAATGTTTTTCATTGTATTTACTGTCAAAGTCAATATATCATTAATAATATGTCTCTCGATATATCAATACAAAATTTTCCATCAATGACAGCCCTACAATATATCAGACGTTACAGACTTGTCTTAGTTTATGATGGTGAAGCCTGATGTCTTGTATAAAGTTATTGCTCACAAATTAAAAAATGTCTATTGTCTTGCCTTTCAAGCTTCAATCAAAAATTTTATAAAATTTTATAAAATTTCATGCTCAATCATTAACAAAAACTCTGAAACAATGTAATAATCAATTTAAGATAAAATACGAAGAACAATCTATTTTTGCCTATCCGCCATACAGGCTAAGTAAAGCGCTTTACAGATTGATTCCAAATTTTTGAAAAATACAGAATAATGAACTTGGAAAAGCAATGTTCTGCCTCTAGCTTCCATACTGTAGGCATATATGCAGCTTTTAAAAATCTGTTGCAGTATTTAGGTTGTAGATCAGACCTGTTATGAATCTTATAAACCAAAATAACACATGACATTTGTTTGATATCTGTACAATTATCTCTGGTATGTCTGCCTCTTTAAAGTTGAAGATAATACCCTAACAAATTAGTTCAAATACAAATGTATGCAAATGACAATACTACTACATGTACATGTAGTTAATTTTTGTATCTGGGTGTATGGATGTATTTCCTTATATCTGAGAATACTTTTTATCTACAGAGTTTTGCTTTATTAATAGGGAAAGTAGCTGATGACTCAGTTGTCCTTGGCGATCTTAAACTTAAACCAGGAACCAAAATCATGATGATGGGTACTCGAGAAGAGGAAATAGTAAGTTGTTACAAAAGTTTTGTTTTTCTTTAAGAAATGCTTTTATTTTATCCTTCATCACAGCTGTTAATTTTCTGGAAATATATTAAAGGGACTCCACTGAGGTTTTTTTGACATGATTGGACCGAAAATATTTTTTCCAGATAAATGTACAATTTGATGAAGGTTTAGACCACTAATCTTTGTGCAGAATTTCAGATCATTCGCACATTTCGTTTTTCCAGAATGATTATTCAAATTGTAAAAAATACCCCAAATGAAAAGTGTTTAAACGCTTTTCATTCAAATCGGGCTAAGAAAAGCATCAAAATACGATTTTCAATTTATTTCAAAGTATATTTCTTAACTATCTTTGCATATATTTCTGTTTAAAGTGTCCCAGCTCATTTATGTAATAAATTCAAATGTTATGTTTTCAGGTTTTAAAACCTCGGTGGAGTCCCTTTAATAGAAAACTAAAATGTTCTAGTAAATACTTCAGCTGAGCTTTCAAAAAAATTGTGTACACATATGACAAGTACATTTCTGAATTATATGAGAGTTTAGATATGTTTAACAATTTTACATTTTTCTTATCATCTTTGATTGATTTGTTTGTCCTTATGAAATTTTTATTGAATTGTTGAAGTAAGGCAAACAAGCGCACATGGAGTTATACTCTTTATCAGGAATCATGATGGAATAAATTAATCATGTAAATGTATTAATGTTTTTTACCATTTTATAGACTAAGATTGTTGAGCCTCCACCAGACTTACCCGAGGTTGTAAATGATTTTGATATTGAAGAAGATGAAATTGCTATAGAAAATAGGTAATCTTTTATGTATATACAAACATATGTTTTGCATTGATTTTTATAGTCTATTGTAAATGGGAATTGCGTCCTTTGCATTGTGAATCTTTTAAATTCTGACATTGCCAAATTTTATAAAATGTGACAGAAGTAAGAAAAGATTTGAACCAAACAATTTTTTTAGTCATGAAAATGTTAAAAAGATACTTGTTGATTTTGTAAATGGGGCCAATTTTGAAACCAAATTGGCCTGACGAAAGTTAAATCATTGTTTTGGGTCAGACTTTCATTTTGTTTGGTTCTGTGTTATTTAAGGTATTACCATCCTAATGCATTACCTCTGCTTTTAAGAGTATTCAAATGGGCTAGAACTACTGTTAACTACATTGAAAATGAAGGCAGTGGGTTCAATCCCCAGAAGGGTCAACTTTTTTTTTCTTTCTTTTTTTTTTTAACATTATTTATGTATCTCTCGTGTCCCATTTGGAAAGTAAAAAGTGTTTAATTTTGATTTTTTAATTTACATAGGTATTTATTGGCTAAATTATGCTAAATCTAGTAATAAATATGGTACCTGATATTTTCAAAGTGTAATAAAATCTAGACGGTAAAAGTATTTCATATTTTACAAGATCAACCAATATACTTCTTTAAAAATTTAGGGAAACTTTGAAAACAGGCACTCATTTGGGTAAATTTTAAGGATTTTTTAAATTAGTCTCCCTTACCAGGAAAATGGTCAGACACGTGGTAAAAATGGGTGGGGTAGGGTAACATTTTTATACAGATTTCATAAATTTTAAGTAGAAACCATAATTTTGCTTATGTGGATTGTTAGCTGAATGGTACTATTTGTTTCTTACCAAAAATTAATGGGAAAACATTTTTCATTAGAATGTTATTGCAGATTATTTAAAGGTTCCTCATTTCTAAAAAAGGGCCCTCATAACATCCTAGCTTGAGTTCAGAAAAGTGGCCATAACTTGATTTCCGTACGGTAAACTTTGTTTAAATTTTGCATACAGGTGTACTTTAAGGTATATATCTGACCTATGATGTCAATTTTTTAGTTCCTTATAGTGCCCATTAGGGTGGTAATACCTTAAATTATTCTACATTTATCCATGAAAGGAAGAAGGTTTTAGACCAAAGCAAACTTGAAACTTAGCTTCCAAACATGAATTAATGTTCAGTGATTTCATTTCTTGGGGTGCTGTGGCCTATACACTTAAAAGTTAAAACATAAGTATTGTAAAATAAAAAGTTAAGAACAGCAATTTAAAGTTGTTGTATTTCAGAGAGGAATTCTTACAGAAGATAGAAAAAAGAGTTAAAGACTATAAAATAGACATTATTACTGAACCAAGAGATGGAAAGAAACTTCTTGTTCTTGATATAGACTACACATTATTTGGTCAGTATTATTTTGTATTTTTTATCAGAAAATATACTTATTACGTTCTGTTTTGACATTGAAATTCATTTAAACTTTAATCCATGTGAAAACTACAAGGTCAACCTTGAATAAAGAGCTGTCTGTAGAAATAAAGTCATGTCACAGGTCGAGGAACATGTGCAACCTGACTGGGACTCGAATCTGAAATACCGTTCCGCGGCTCTGCGGACTGAGCTATCCGGTCGTGTACATATCTATGCTATATAGTGAACAGTTCTTAACTTTGACACAATCGCAACTACTCGGCCCTTTCCGTCAGCCTTCGGATAAGGACCTCGAACACAATAGTATGAATACACAGAACGGATGCGGTATTTCGATCCAACCTACGCTAAGAAACTAAACATGTAAACAAAAAGTAATTTATGGCTGGGAGTTGTTGACAATTTATTTCCAATATATGTAGTAAAAGTCCACTTAAAATAAGTGAATTCAGAGGTACAAAATCAACAATACATTATTTATATATTTATTATTATAGTTGTAGAAACCGAAAGTACAAAAAACCAACCTGTTGACATTTAGTCGGATTTGTTTAAAATTGAACATCATTGGGCATATTTAAATTACAAATTGTTGTCAGACATATTTTCAAGCATAAGAGTACCGGAACAGACATAAGATGTCAAATAGATACATTCGTTTTACATTATCTCTGTTTCTGGTTACATCTGAAACCACGTGGTAGAACTACTTTCAATCCGTATCGTTTCCGAGGTTTTTATCCCCCGCCAAAAAGGCAGCGGGGGATATAGAAATAGTCTCCATCCCTCCGACCTTCCGTCCGTCCGTCCTTCCGTCCGACATTTTTGTCCGGAGCATATCTCTAAAAGTATTTGAGTAATCAACTTGAAACTTCATAGGTGGATAGACCTCATTGAGGAGGAGTGCAGTGCACAAGAATGATAACTCTACCCTGCATAATTTTTGAGTTATTGCCCTTTGTTATTTTTCAAAATTGATTTTTGTCCAGAGCATAACTCCAAAAGCCTATGAGATATCAACATGAAACTTCATAGGTGCATAGATCTCACTCAGGAGGTGTGCATTGCACAAGAATGATAACTCTACCTTTCATAATTTTTGAGTTATTGCCCTTTGTTATTTTTCATACTTAATTTTTCACCTGAGTGGAGCATAACTCAAAAAATGTTTGACATATCAACATGAAATGTCATAGGTGGATAGATCTTATTGAGGAGGAATGTTGTGCACAAGAATGATAACTCTTCCCTATACAATTTTTGAGTTATTGCCCTTTGTTCTTTTTCATGCTATTTTGTCCAGAGCTTATCTCAAAAAGTATTTGAGGTATCAACTTGAAACTTCATAGGTGGATGGATCTCATTGAGGACGAGTGCAGTGCACAAGAATGATAACTCTACCCTGCATAATTTTTGAGTTATTGCCCTTTGTTATTTTTCAGAATTAATTTTTGTCCAGAGCATAACTCAAAAGGCCTTTGAGATATCAAAATGAAACTTCATAGGTCTCACTCAGGAGGTGTGCAGTGCACAAGAATGATAACTCTACCTTTCATAATTTTAGAGTTATTGCCCTTTGTTATTTTTCATACCTAATTTTTCACCCGAGTGGAGCATAACTCAAAAGTGTTTGAGATGTCAACATGAAATGTCATAGGTGGATAGATTTTATTGAGGAGGAATGCTGTGCACAAGAATGATAACTCTTCCCTGTACAATTTTTGAGTTATTGCCCTTTGTTCTTTTTCATACTATTTTGTCCGAAGCTTATCTCAAAAAGTATTTGAGGTATCAACTTGAAACTTCATAGGTGGATGTATCTCATTGCGGAAGAGTGCAGTGAACAAGAATGATAACTCTACCCTGCATAATTGTTTAGTAATTGCCCTTTTTTTATTTTTCAGAATTAATTTTTGTCCAAAGCATAACTCAAAAGGCCTTTGAGATATCATTTTGAAACTTCATAGGTGCATAGATCTAACTCAGGAGGTGTGCAGTGCACACCAATGATAACTCTATCTTTTATAATTTTTGAGTTATTGCCCTTTGTTATTTTTCATACTTAATTTTTCAATTCAATTTTTTTCTCAAAAAGTATTTGAGGTATCAACTTGAAACTTCATAGGTGGATAGATTTTACTGAGGAGGGATGCAGCACACAAGAATGATAACCTACCCTGCATTATTTTTCAGTTATTGCCCTTTGTTATTTTCAGCCATCAGTAATGACATAGGTTTCAAATCTGTAATCACTATAGCCATCAGTTTTCATTACCAAAAGACCTCTTAAAATGGAATTATTCTGCTGTACTACATATACATTTTTCCAATGAGCAAACACATTCGGCGGGGGATGGCCATGTTGACATGGCTCTTGTTAAAGATAATAGCCGAGGCAGTTCGGAATGAACTTTGACATCCTCTCCAGGATTATTGAAATACATCCTTGAAGTTCTCAGGGTTACAGAGCAATGTGAATTAAGTTCTGAGCTATATGTGGTCACTGTCCCTTGTAAGGCACTAAATGTCGTAGGGTGAAGAAAATGTGCAGCCTGACAAGGGACTCAAACCTATTTTGACAGGCGTTATGTTAAACAAGTCAGTTTTCACTTCCTTAAATCAAAAAACAAAATGCAAGCCTTTTAGCCATCTTTAAAATTTATTTAGTTTGACATTATTTTTAAGCCATACATATTTGTTTTATCCATAGGTAAATAAAGTTTTTTGTCTGTCAGATATATACACTGTAACACAGTTTACCTGAATTCAGAACACATGTATTACAGTCCTAGTGATAAAATACAATACATTCTGGACAGTTAACTACATGTGTACAACTTGTAATAACAGTTAAAAAATGCCCTTGAGAACTTGTACGAACAGTTAAAAGCTGCCCTTGAGAACTTGTACTAACAGTTAAAAGCTGCCCTTGAGAACTTGTACGAACAGTTAAAAGCTGCCCTTGAGAACTTGTACGAACAGTTAAAAGCTGCCCTTGAGAACTTGTACGAACAGTTAAAAGCTGCCCTTGAGAACTTGTACGAACAGTTAAAAGCTGCCCTTGAGAACTTGTACGAACAGTTAAAAGCTGCCCTTGAGAACTTGTACGAACAGTTAAAAGCTGCCCTTGAGAACTTGTACTAACAGTTAAAAGCTGCCCTTGAGAACTTGTACGAACAGTTAAAAGCTGCCCTTGAGATAAGGTGTGTAAATATGACGAAATATTATTTTGGTTAGATCTATTTGAACCTTGAAAATTATTGGTATTTTGTGTGCTTTTTGGCAAGAGACTTTTCATAATAGAAAGTAATTTCAGGGATTTTTTTGGCTTATTTTATAGCCATTATTGGGTTATATACCCAATTGGAAAAAATTATATTATTTTCCCAATCCACAGGAAAATATACCCAATTGAAAGTTACAAAATAAAAATATTGAATAAAGAATTCTAAAGTCTTTGAAAAAAAAAGCGTCATCACTGTAATAGTGCTTAAATATTTGAAGATGCCATCCTAAACAGTGATTGTTTGCATTTATTCAATCACTGCAAAATTTCAGTCATGCATTTTTCCCCAATTTTTAACAAATATCGGGCATGGTTCATGTTCCCAAAATCCTGGAAAAATCCCTCAATTTATTAGGGTTAGACCTTAGACACAGCAAAGCCTTGGTGAAATATATGCTCAACTTGGGACAATTAGTATATGCTCAACTGTGGACAATAAGAGAAAAATCTCCACTTTTTCACATTGTGAGTAAAGCTATATCCAAGCCATATTTAGTGTGAATTTTCATAATCTTTGACACAAAAGTTAAAGATGTTGATATTTGATATGATATTAAAGGACCAGTAATAAGGAATATAGAAATATCATTCAAATTGACCTGTTTACACTAGTGTTCAGTCAACAATTGTTTAAACTTTCATTTATTTGCTTATATGACATTCTATATTTTCTAGATCACAGATCTGTGGCAGAGACTGCTAACGAGTTAATACGACCATTCCTGCATGAGTTTCTCACATCGGCATATGACGACTACGATATTGTTATTTGGTGTAAGTTTATATTATTTTCATATTTTCAATTTTCTTAATTATGATAAAGTATAGATATATTATGAACTATCAGGTTTGGTTTGATTTTTTCAAATGATAACAGTATTTGGAGATTTTTTTGTGACCTGGCTGTGTCCGTCACCTGTTATGCGTTGTCAACTTTTGTTTCAAATTATCTCCTAAACCATTAGGCCATGTTGCTAGGATTCGTCCTAGCATGTAGTTTTTAAAAGTTGTGCAAATGATTCCATTCCTGCAAAACTCTGGTTTCCATGGCAAACCCGGAAGGAATAAAAAAAAACCTTAAAAATCTTCTCCAATGCTATAAAAGATATTTGATATATTGCGTTGTCTAGTTTGTTACAGTTTGGATTTTACCAAAGTTTGTTCAAATTATAGCCTTAGGTTTTGCCTTATATATTTAAAATAAGAAATCTCTAAAACAGAGCTACAGCATATATTTTTGGCATAAAACGTTGTCTAGTGGATTTCTACCATTTTTTTTTCAATTTATAGCCTTAGGGTCAAAGTTTGCCATGCTCAGGGGGTCGTGGGTTTTCCTCATATATATATGTTTAAAACTTAACTCTTCTGAAACTTCACAGGCTAAAGCTTTAAAAAAAATGCCAGGTTAACAAAATGTCTGCAGCAAGGTAAACTGTGGCTAAGAAACATGAAGAAACCCATGAAATTCTGGTTAGAACAATGCAAATATATATGTCTTCATAAAATATTGAATTTTTGTTTCTTATATGTCAAGGGAAGAATAATCTTGCAGTGAAATGTATTCTATTTTCAGCTGCCACAGGTATGAAATGGATTGAAGTAAAGATGAAAGAGCTAGGGGTGACTTCACATACAGAATATAAAATCTGTTTCATGATTGACAGTGGGGCCATGATCAGTGTTCATTCACCAAAATATGGAGTTATTGATGTAGGTTGTGTTAATTTTGTAGATACATTTATAATACTGCATATTGTAACCTTGCTTTTCATTGGATAATCGTGATGTTTATATAAATTATATACACATTTACTGCCAATTTTTAGATTTATTTTTTCTCTAATAAGAAAGTTTCTGTATTATAACTGACAGGTTATATGGCCCTATATAACAGTTATTTGCGAAATAAGCCTCGTCTAGCAGCTTAGTCAACCATTAATATAGAGCCATATAATCTGTCAGAAATCTTTATAACTA